CAGCGATCCGCATCTTTCTCTAGCTTATATATCGCCATCTGGGCTTTTCGCTCTGATGAGCAGTCCATCACCTTGAAGATCTTTTCTAGGCGATTAATCCACTCTTCCGCCGCTTGAACATCGAATGTTCCATCAAATGACGGCGGGTTGTGCTTACAGAATCGGGTCATCCACTGTTGAATGCTATCGAGTTCTGCTGCTGGCATTACCGGTCTTGGCAATTGTTCTGATGCTGGTGCTGCAGAGACCTCTTCCTCTGGTTGCCTCCTCTCGAGGTTTGCTAATGCTGCTGCTACTGCTGCAGCTATCGCTGCATCCCTTTCTTGTTCCTGACGAGCTTGAGCTGCTCTCATGTCCTCGATGGTCTTCTGTTGTTGCTCGAGGCGTTCCAGAATTAATTGTAATGGATCAGGAGGGACCCTTGCATCTTGCACTAGGGGTCTCTCTGGTGAAGGGTTTCGTCGGGTTCTAGCCATTGCTTAACTTAACCGAATAGCATAACAAGGAACAAGAAAAATAAATATCATGCTTGGATTTCATTATCAAAATAGGCATACAGCAATCAGCACTTAAACATCAACCAGCTAGAATACAATCAACATACAGCAGCCAAGCATTGACCAGTCAAAGTGCAATCAACATATCTATCGACCAAGCATTATCAGCCTAACCTACTCGGGTTAGCTGTACCAAAATATATCCTACGTTAGTGATAGGATAGTCCTAGCGTCTACAGAAAGTGAACAATAACAAAGCCCTCAAGGCTTCGAATCCAGTCCTCCACATCATCTCCCAGCAAGTAGTTCAGGCGAGTGATCTCATGGTTCCAGAAAGGGGTATTAGGTAGGACCTCTACCATCTCACTCAGCCAGTCATAAGGATCCAGGTAAGGGTTGCCTGGTCCATGTGCCTGATACAGCTCTCTCACACCTTGGAGGTAATCCAGGTGTACTCTCAGGTCTGCATCAACATCCCTCCTGATGTGACGCCCTATGAACCTCAGCCGGTCACTCAGCTGACCCACACTACGGATCTCATGACTAGGCTGAACTGGTACAGGTACAATTGGTACTGCAGGTACTACAGGTATTACCGGGGCTGGGGTACAACTGGTACAGTACTAGGTCCAGGGATATTACATTGGTACATAGCAGGAGGAACAGGCTGCTTAAGAGACTGAACATAAAGATCTAAATCTAATGGCTCTTGGTACATTCCAGTTACAGGGTTGACCAAGTCTCCGGGTCCGGGGAGATACAGCAACTGTTCTGCAGTGATTCCTAGCAGCTCTGGATAGTGCTCAACACAGTCATTGGAGCACACTGATGAATGGCCAGGGCTGGCATCTCCCATTACCCATTCCTCTGGGTCTTCATCTTTGGTGAGATCAATTACTATTGGATCCCAAGTGTTGACTGACGGCTCAGATTTTGTATCCCATTCCATGGTAATCCCCATCTTGGTTCCTGAAAATAGGTGTTAGTTCTCTACATCTAAGGGATACTTAAGCAGAGCGTTCTATCTTATGCCAGAACCTCCGCTCTGATACCAAAAATGTCACACCTTACTATAATATTGACTTAGGTTCCTTTTCAAAATCATTTTTGACCACATTGGATGGTCTTGGGCTCACTTTTTACCATAAAAACGCTAATTTTCGGATTTTCACTGTTCATCGGGTAAAAATCCAGTTTTTCTGGCCCAACTTCAAAAATTCATAACTTATTCTACAAAAATCCAATTGGGGTGATTCAAAATTCTACTTAAAGCTCTTTAAGTCCTCTTTCAAGGAAAAATAATCTCATTGTCCAATTCTTTATGAGAAAGCGTCAGGTTTTTAAGAAAACAACACTGTCCATTTGCCAAAAACCCTGATGTCCAGATTCTGACCATTAACTTTGAAAAATCATTATAAATTGTATACTGGGCCATTTTTAACGTATTAGCTATCAATTTGAAGCTCAGGATGTCATCTTTCATCATGCCAAATTTCACGATTTAACGCGTTTGGGAACATAATCAAAAAGTCACGTGAACCGGTCAGGGTCAGTGTGCTTCCAGCACTGTTAGTTTAATATTTACATAACCAAAATAAGCTCACGAATTTTGTGGCTAAACTCCACAATTCAACCTTCAATCTGCAGCTTCCCTTTTGAAGATTCAGGCCCTAAAATGTTACATGATTCTTGGGGGATGAGATTTTTGGAAATCCCAGTAGTAAATTAACCAACTATATCACAAGCAAGCATCATTATTATGCATGATCACATTAGCTACTATGGATGAACTAACATGCTTATCATTTGGCAAACTCAATCATGCAAAGGCCAAAGCAAGATACTATAAAGAGCAGCCACATAACAATCAAGAGAGCTCAATCACAATAATAGCAAGTAACCATACAATAATCAACAATGCTAGTTAGTGGTAGTAGCTAGGTTTAACTTACTACCTTGCTTCAAAAGTCTTAGCCTTTCTTCCTTCTCCTCTTTCCCTTGGCAAATATCAAACCCTAACCATGTGATTCAACAAAAATGGCAGCAAGAATCATTATCCAACCATGAAAAAGCAAGAACATACATCAAAATGATTCTTGGACCATAAAGTTCCCTCCTTTGTTCACTAGTTTTAGATTTGGTTCTCTTTAACCCTAAAAATCACTCCTTGACTTGTTCCTACATGGATTTTCATGTAGATTCCAAAAATAGGCTTAGATTTGTGAAAATAAAACTGATTCTTCCAGCCACAAACCGACCAAACCACTAGAGGTTTTGACCCAAAATTTTCAGCTTTGCTTTTAGGCTTCCAACACTTGTTTCTTTTAGTCTACCCTACACCATTCCTCATTTTAAGCATCATGGAAGCCTTAAAACAATGAAAAGCTCATCCTAGGGTCCAGTTCTTCACTTGGCCGAAAATAACTCTCACAACAACAACCATGAAAAATGCTTTAAAATCACTTAAACTCACTTGCCAACACTAGGATCTAGCTTGTGTTGTTGTGTCTTAGCAAGTGTTATGATCAAAACTTCTTTCCCCTTTTTATTAATCAATTTGGTCCACATTAAGAGAGGGAAGAGACAGATTTTAAACCATAAAAATGAAAGAAACCAAAGCAAGAACACTTCTAGGACCAAGATCTAACCTTGAAACCTTGCTAGGATGATCAAAAGTGCTCCCTTTCTCCTTGTTTCCTCTCAAACTCTCTCTTTTTCTCTATTTTTCTCCCTTGCACGAAATGAACATCTGAAAATGGGGAGAGAAGAGCTTGATTAAGGCTTCAAAATATCCCAACCACCTTCTTTAATGATAGTCCAAGTGTCATTACCCTACTAAGTCTTGATTCCTCTCTCTTAATTAACATAATTCCAAATGAAATTATTTACTAAAGTCAAAATCCTCTCCATTCATGGAATGACACTTGGCTAATTCAAATCTTCTCCTTCAAGAGCTTGACACATGGCTCAATAGGATCCCTTTGATTTGCAAGACACCAATCTTGCTTTATCGGTATACTTTAGGCTCTGAGTTTAACTTCTTTTTTATAATTACAGTATCTTAGTCTCTGTAATTATTTTCTATCAGATCCTTAATTTATTCTCCTCATTATTGTCTTCCCAAATTGTCCTCTTTGTCTCAAAATTAATTTCCTAATATTTAAATAAAAAGGAAAATTAATTTCCCTCTCTTTAGGGATTTTTCCACTTTTCACATTTATTTGGAAAAATCTTGGACACTTGAGGGTTTCTATTTAATTCCATAATTCCTTATAATTCCTTGGGATCTCATAGGAATTTTCTTGGAATTTTATTCCTCTTAAAATATTTATTTGGAATTTTCCAAATAAAATCCCTCAATTAGCCTAAATCACCCTTAAATTCTCTTATAATTTCTCTAAGGGTAATTTGGTCATAAAACCAAATTTATAATTTCATATAAATCTCAAAGGATATTATCCCTATTTTTCCTTAATTTTCCATGGCTCGAAAATATTTTTCCTTATTTACATTTGACCAATTTTCTTTAATTAGTCAATTTCCTATAATTGGCTTGGAAAATTGCTGTAATTATTTTCCACCAAAATTCTTTGACTTTTCCTTATTACTTTTAATCCTGAATAATTTGAGAATATTTCTTGTCTCCAATTATCATAATACTGGATGTGACACTAAAACCCTTCAACATTCCTTTTACATTTCTGGGACTCCTGCTCATAGGGATTTAGTAGCCTACCTATCTTAGGCTAATCCGTGTATTCTTAGGCCCAAAACTTGGGGTGTGACAAATCCCTTCTCACTTGGCCACCTTTCAGGCTCAAAAGCTTAGGAGCGAAGCTTCCTATTATATTTGGGATCCACCGCACTTATGGAGGTTATGTTCTGACCAGGTGATTAGACGATGCATTCCGAAAGTAGAGGCTCAAGCCACTCAGGGGGCTTACCATGATACCTTATGTGGGGGGCACTTTAGTACTAGAAAAATAGCTAGGAAGGTTTTAGATGTAGGATTTTACTAGCCTACCTTATTTAAAGACGCATTCACTTTTTGTAAGGCATGTGATAAATATGAACAGTTTGGGGGGGTTAGTAGAAGAAACGAAATACCACAGCAACCTATCTTGTTCTGTGAGATCTTTGATGCTTGGGGGATAGACTTTATGGGCCCTTTTATACTCTCTCATAGTTACACCTACATTCTCCTAGCTGTAGATTACCTTTCTAGCTGGGTAGAAGCCATCCCCATACATAAAGATCATGCACCTACAGTTTTCACATTTCTGAAGTCCACCATCTTCAATAGATTTGGAGTACCAAAAGTGCTAATCAGTGATCAGGGAACCCACTTTTGCAATAAGTTACTCAATAACTTGTTTGCCCCATAGAGTGCCTACCCCTTATCATCCTCAAACTAATGGCCTGGTTGAAGTATCAATAGAGAGATTAAACACATCTTGAAACAAATTGTTAAGCCCTCCAACAAAGACTAGAGCTTGAGACTAGATGATGCATTATGGGCCTACTGCACCGCACACAAGACCCCAATTTGTATGTCTCCGTATCGGATCATCTATGGTAAGTCCTGTCATATTCCGGTGGAGTTGGAGCATCGATCATACTGGGCGGTTAAGAGCTGCAATGCCAATTTGTAGGAAGCTGGCCTGAACCGACTCCTTCAAATTTGGGAACTTACAGAAATACGGTTAGACGCCTATAACAGTTTAGATATCTACAAGCAGAAAACCAAGCTTGTCCATGATGCCAACATCCTGAGGAAGAAATTCAAGAAGGGTGACAAGGCATTGAGGTATCAAGCTCGATTCAAATTCAAAAAGGGTAAGTTCAAGACGAGCTGGGATGGACCCTACATTATGACAAAAGTACATAACTTCGGGATGATAGAGCTGAATGAGGAGGCCACAGGCAAAATGTTTTACTGCAACGGTCATCTCCTTAAGCTCTATGAAGAGCCCGCGCCGCCTTCTTAAGGCCAGGTCGTCCCCTTCCTTTACCTCTTACTGTTCACATGGATTTACTTGTGTTTAAATTCTCTTGTTTTGACTGTTTGAGATTGCAAAAGGGATGTCCTTAGTAGAAGTAGTTTTAAATTCTGTTTGTTATGTTTGTTTTCAATAATCTCCCTTGACTTTAAGTTTGATGTGATTGTATTTATGCTTCTATTATATCAGCACCACACACTTCTTTGCATTCTTGAGTTTACCTACCTTTGCGCTTAGCTCTTTTCCTCTCTCTAGAAGGGTGATGTGTTGTGCTTTAGTCTCGAACTGTACTTCACAACTTACACTTTCGTTGTTGTGTTTGGGCTGTGTTTTGGTGTGATTGTGTGCCGTTATGTGGAATTGCTTTGAGTGTGTGGGGGAGGGGAGTTTTTAAAAGTGGTTTTGTGATTTAGTTGTTGGGTTGTTCCTTGTTATGGGTAGTTCTTGCTAAAATTTACCAAAATTTTTCAAAATTTTTGAACTTTTGAAAGTTTTTCCCAATCTTCTATCACTTGTTTTTGGAGTTTTGTTTTAACTTGTTGAAAATCTAGTGATGGATTGCTGAGTTGAGTTGTTATGGTAGGTGTTTTAGCAAGTGATTTTGGTTTAAGGACTTAGGTTTGAAGTTTTTTAGGATCTAGAGTGTCAGAGCCTCTCTATGCACTCAGCTCGCGACTTTACTGTTTTCAGGTCGTGACCTAGTAGTCTGAGTTTTGGAGCTCTCTGTGTGTTTAAGTCATGACTTCTCCATCTGTGGTCACGACTTGGGGAAGACTTTTTGGGTAAAGGCTCTCGATAAGTTTAGGTCGCGACCTCCCTATCTTCAGGTCGCGACTTGAAACCTTTCTGAAACCCTAAATCCCTCTCTTTCTAATGAAGTCACGACCTGACATGAAAAGTCAGAGTTTTTCTTCAAGTTCACCTCTTTACCCCTTCTTATTTCCACCGTAATTACCATTTTGCCCCTAAACCTATCCAGAATTCAAGTTCTATCCACTCCAAGACTTAAAACCCTAGGCCTTCCTTTGTAAAACCACACTTTACCCATCCTTTCAGTTTCACCTCTCATATTCATCTCTCTTTTCCCTATGGCTGTTCCTCTGCTTAAGTCACGACTCTCCAATCTTGGATTCTTCAACAGCCGCATCTTTTCAAATTCCCTCCAAAGTCACAACTACTCAGCCTTTTTAACAGTTTGCTCCTTCTCCAACCGTTTCAGTTATTTCTATTCTTCAGTTTTTGCGATTTCTGAGTGCCTCCACTCTGAAATCCACCTCCTACAATTTGTGAATAAGCCTCCTCTCTACCCTTGCGTTCAGTTCTTCCATCCTTCCACTCTCTCAAGGTTTGTTTAATCTTCCTTTTCATTTTTAGTTTTTTTGTTCTTCCTGGTATAGTTGTCTGTGTTTTTTTTAGGGGTAGGTAGTGTTATTTTTATTAGGGCTTTGATTTTGGTTGAGTGGAGTATTGCTGGATGTTGAACATGTTGTTTAACTGGTTTTTAGACTGCTTGGTACTATATTTTTTACAAAAGATTTGGTTTTTGAGCAAACTAGTTTGTGCTAAGTTTCTTGAATTTTCTGGGTTCAGGTCGTGACCTCACTGTTTTTAGGTCGCGACCTTAAACCTTTCTAAATTTAAAAATTTCCCTCTGTCTATTCAAGTTATGACCTCACTGTTTTCAGGTCATGACCTAGGCCCACAGAAGAGGTTTTAAACCTCTGATTCACCTCTGTTGTTTCAAACTACAATTTCTCAATGGATTTTGACTTTACATATTAAGGATTTGCAAAAAATGGATTTTGGGCAATTGAAAATTATGAATACTTGGGTTTTCTTATGATTTCCCCACTGGTTTTAAAATGCAAATGTCCTAATTCAAAACCTTCAACTATTTTGCTTAAGTGAGTCTGGCAAGGGGTAAATGTAGGCCTAGTGTGGGGGAGAGCTTTGCTTCTGGGCTTAGTATAGTTTTTAGTTTTTTTTCTAGGTTTGTTTGTTTTGTGCGTTTACTTTGGTTGTTTATTGGTTGTTTACTTTGTATGCGGATGCTTCGCACCAAAAATCCTGAGTCTTTAGGCTCGAAGAAGAAGCTTCGACCTCATGAGGAGAGCAGACTTTCAAGGAAGAAAGCTGTGGAATTATTTGCCAACAGGGGGTAGTTCAAGAGCGGTACTTTCCAGAAACCGAGCAGTACGACTTTTATAAGCTTGCTAAATAGAGGGGCCTTGAGGAACTTATGAAGAAGATGAACAAGGCCAATTTGACGTTGGTGAGAGAGTTCTACACTTGCTCTGCTATGGATAGACATAGGAGGATCACTTTTGGAGGCAGTGAATGTTTTTTAACTCGGGGGGCTGTTGAAAAGTTTTACAAGTTGGCTGATGTCCTTGTTTGTGAGTATCAGCGATGGAAGATTAGACTTACTGAAGTTCCCTAGCAAGAGGTTTTCTAAACCATCGAGACAGGGGGAGCTGGGTGGATCATAAAGGAAAGTGGGCGAAAAGTCTTCAAGCGCAAGCACATGAATGATGAAGCTAGGATTTGGCTAAACTTCATGGTTTATAACATGATGTCATCGGCTCACATTTCTGATATTTCTAAACAGGGCGCACTCCTTTTACATCTCCTGATGACCATGTAGCTGGTTGACATTCTCATTATTGCCCTGGACCAGATTGATCGCCGTGTCAATAATGCCTAAACTCTTATGATATCTCCGCACTTGATTACCAATTTATGTGCAACACATGACATACCAGCGTGCAGGTCTGACACTCTCTTGGACCCTCTAATGACCAGGTGCTATGCCGCTTCCAAAACTAACAGAAAAAGAAAAAGAGGAAAAAGGGTGATTAGGGAAGAACCAGAAGAGGAGGCAGCTGAGGGTGTGATCGATGTGCCGGACTGTCACCTTCCGGATCATCAAGAAAGAAAGTTACACCAGATAAAATGCAGTATAGGATGCAACCAGTCATTCTTCTCAAGGAGCTTGTTATTGAAAATCCTAGTCTAAATTGGGTTTCAAAAAAATTGTAAAAAGGGGAGTTTTAGTTGTTTTAAAAGTGGTGCAACAAATTAACTATTTTTGGTATTTTGAATGAATGAAGAAATGTTTTGGATTAAAAGGAAATTATGGTTAAATAGTCTCTTGATGATGAAAGCTCAGCTATCACTGCTTATTAGAATGATTGGGAGTTTGGAGAACCTTTAAGTCTGAAGAAAACTCTAAGTAATCACTTGGGTCCAATGTCTTAATTAATAAAAACTCACTTTAATCAAAGTTAATTAACACCTCTTAAGATACTACTGAAAACCACTTAGAGTGTAAATGAATAAATGATGCAAATGCCCTCTGAATGTCAATCGACAGCCACTGAATACCAAGCACTCAGATTAATCAACAATTATCACTGATAATCAAACTGAACACAAGGATTCAAACCAAAATATTAAAATAGATTAATCAACATTAACATCATCCAATCCAAATATAATAGAATAGTCTAAACACAAGATTTACAATCATAAACCAAGTGTGATACAAGTGCAGAAAGTTCCTAAATCTAGAAAAATTCAACATAGCATTAAACAATGATTTAGACTATAGAAAGAAAACTCCCCAATTAAGTCTTTGAGCTCAAGCTTTGTCTTCAATCACCAAGAGGCTAAGGGTTTAGCCTCTCATGCCTTTAAACCAATCACAATTACTCCAAGAATGAATAGCCATGGTTAAAGCTAAAAATAAGGTTGGAAAAATAGAGAAGAAAGGTGTTGGAGTGGTTTAATCGGTTTAGCATCACAGAAAATGATGAAGAAATGAAGAAAAATGGAAGTTTTGGGTGTAGGATCAATAGAGACTAGAGAGGAGATGATGGTGGCTCAACCTTGTGCAAATCTACAAAATGGAAGAGTTCTTTTTCGTGGTGGCTGCCCTCCTTAGGTATAGAAGCTTAGAAACCTATTCTAAAACGCACAGCTTCACTTAATGCACTCAGGTCGCGACCTCAGGACTGTAAGGTCGTGACTCAAGGGAGTCAGGTCACGACCTGAGAGGCTTCTTGTCATGACCTGGGAAGACAAAGAGCTTACATCTTTACTCAGATCCAAAACATGTGGCTCCAGTAAAATGGCATCCAAGTCGCGACCTAAGTATTCCATGTCGCGACCTGGGGAGGCAGAACACTCCTAACTTTTGTGTCTTGCTCCTTGTAACATTTTGGCTCCATCCGTGCTCTATCATGACTCTTAGGTCCTTCTCCAATTGCCTCAAAATCACAATAAAGAGCTTTGTAAAGACCAACTGATTGCAGATCAGGGCAATTAAAATTTAGAAGAGAAAAATGACCCTTTTTTAACCCTTTAAACAGCAAAATGCAATGCATGACTCAATGTAATCAAATGGATATAAATGCACACATAATAAGGGTAAAATTGTTGCAAAATATTATAAAACACTTGAGAAAACCATATAAAGATTGGGTTCTATCACTCCCCCACACTTGAACCTTTGTACTCCTGGACAAAGATTTGAATCATTCTAAAGAAAGTACACCTACAATTAAAGAGACTAGTATGTTTAAAAGTGATCTTAAGAGCTAATCAATCAACGTCTTTTAGGAATATAGAAAATGATAAATGAACAATGCCAAGTAATCAGATACAAGATGTAATTGACTCAAAATGCATGAACAACAGAGATTTGCTTACAAGATATAAGTGTTTGAATCGGTCATCTCTCCTCATTGGGGTTCATTTCTCTCAACTATCCAAGTAGCAAACATTCTACTATAAGCTTGTAATGACCCTAAAATCTCCACTACTATTTAGCATCCATGTAAAGAATGAAGAGGACTTTTGGGGTTATAGTGATGGGAAGGCTAAATAGAATCGAAAGAAAAAAATGAAATCGAATGCCAAGAATTAAAGAAATGTGAGTTGAGTATATCTATTTCTAGTCAAGGAAGTTCAGATCCCAACCTTCTATC